GACCTGAGCCAAAGTCCAGGGCTTAACCAACTGAGCCACCCAGGCGCCCCTAAATCAGATGGATTTTACTCAGTAAAACTTCTAAGTATGGATTTGCTTTTATTTCTGTAAGGTTTTTTTGTTTTGTTTTTGTTTTTGTTTTTTTACCTCTTTGAGTAGTTACTTTTGAGACCAGTAGGTGCAGCTTGGCAAAACTCCCTGATCCATCTGGGGAATGAGGGGGTTCATCACAAAGGGTTCTATTTTCTTTGCTCCATGTCATGAAGAACATGATGTAAAAGGATGATCTTATTAGGAAAGAATACAGGACAGCCTTGGAAAGTAGAGGGCAGATCGATGCCAAGTGTGGGGAAGTTGAACATGTTCACAAGACAAAAGGTTTAAAATGATAACTTGCAAAGTGCTCGATGGAGTTCATTTAGCTGCGTGATGGTAACCCTCCTTCCCCCACTGTTATAACAGAGGTAGCTTATATAACATAGTTGATTCGTAGCTGCTGCTATGACTCTCTTAGGAGATTGCAGTCAAGGTGCTGACTCTTCCACTACCCATTCGTCTTTCCTCCTATCCATCCATCATCCCAGACACTGACTTAGATGGTGGGAGATAGTAGTGAACAAAACAACAAACACTCCTGCCCTCCTGGAGCCTTTGTTCTGAAGGAAGCAGACAATGAACAAGATACATAAAATATGTAGTTTGTCAGTGATAAGGGGGAAAATAAACACAGGTGTAATTTTAGAGAGGGTTCCAGGTAAAGACCTGAAGGAAGTGAGGAAGTGAGCTCCTACATACCATAGGGAAGAAAGGGAACAGGTCCCGGTGGGAACACAGCCAAGATTTCAAGGAAGAACAGGAGCAGTGGGGCTAAGGCAGAGTGAACAAGGGAGACAAGGGGAGATGGGGTTTTAAAAAAAGAAGGAAACACCAGGCAGGGAAGGGAGCAGATATTTTAGAGCCTAATGGTCATTATACAGCCTCTGGCTTATGGGAAGCCATTGGAGGGCTAAGCAGAGGAGTGACAGGGTCTGACTTACATATGAGCAGTGTTGTTCCCGCTCTTCCCATCATCACCATCCTCTCCATCATAGTTAAATAATAATTTAGCTCTTACTGTGTATAGGTTACACATAATAACTGATTTAATTCTTACGGTAGTCTATGAGGTAAATGCCACTTAATATATCTTTTTACAGATGGGAAAATAGTGCTTGCCACTATATTGAGATTTTATTATTATTTTTTTTACTGCTCTGTCTCTTTCAGTAAACTGTCAACTTTGAGTCTGTCCCCAATGTCTGGCTCATAGAAGGTGCCAGCCCATGTTAGTGGAATGAGTACTGATTGAAAGCTTTCCTTCCTCTGCAGCTCAAGAGTCCCGATCCATGCATGTAGGAGACAGTAATGTGAAGGGGATGATGGGTCCTGGTAAGTGGCTCTGTTTTTAGTTCTCTTCTCTTCTAGCAAGTATACCCTTTCCCTGCTTTTACCTTTCCTGTTTCTACTCCCTCAGTCCCAAAGCAGGCATGAAAGAACTCAGGCAAAGAGAAAGCACTATGGTTACTAAGAATCTGAGATGAATGGTGGGGTAGGTCAGTGACTCAGCTAAACCCAAGGAGCGAGAATGGGTCGGGATGTTTAAGACAAAGCCAGAATCCTTGGTTCTTTCTGGCTCATTTCAATTATCAATGAAATAACATTCACGGGAAACCTACAGACGTACGTAGCATGACCTAAGTTTTCTGTGGACACATTTTATAGTTTAATTTAAAAGTTATTTGCTTAATAGACAATTCACCAGTATTTTACAAATTATTTCATCTTCCCTCCCTCCATTCCTCCTTCCTTTTTGCACCTTACCATTATCAGGACCAAGGAAGACAAATTCCACAAAAAAAACATTGTTTTTGGCATCTTTCTTCTGTATTTTTTTCTCTGGTGTGCTCACCTAAAAGGAAGGAGATACAGGGAGTCAACGTACACTATTACAAATTAATATATTATTATATAAATGTTTTAATTTTTTTTAATGTTTATTTATTCTCTCTATCTGAGAGAGAGCAGAGCCTGAGTGGGGGAGGGGCAGAGAGCAAGGGAAACACAAAATCCGAAGCAGGCTTCAGGCTCTGAACTCTCAGCACAGAGCCTGATGCAGGGCTCAAACCCGCGAACTGTGACATCATGAGCTGAGCCAAAGTCAGCGCTTAACTGACTGAGCCACCCAGGCACCCCTATAAATTTATTTTTTAAAGTGCCTTAGGTTAGTAGAAACTACATACAAAGAATAAGGATGTATAGGCCAGAAACAGACAGAGGTGATCCTTTGTAATTGTGGAAACTTTAATCCTTAGTTGATGTATTTAATCCTCAAGTGGAGGGGGTAGTTATACCCAAACAGGGGCATACTATTTAACCGTTAACAACAAATACAATTTTTTTTTTTTTTTAACTCAGATATTGATGGCGGGTGCTATTTTTCAGGAATGAACCCAACAACTCCTGAAGCGGAAGAAAACCTTAAGCCTTGTCTTTCGGCTGATATCCAGCCCAAAGGCCATCTCTCATCTGGTGTGTGGAGGCAGCCCAAGGATGGTAAAGAATGGGGAGAAGAATATGTCACGAAAGACCACCCAGATAAACTCAAGGACGCTGGCCAGCCCAGGCACAGTTCTCTGGAAAATGTTTTATGCGAAACCTCTTTAGCTGGTAAGCCCTAGAGGGGAATGCAGGCCGAAAGTGTGAAGAACGGGAAGCCTACAGGCTACAATTCTTGCAATTTAGATTCAGTGGAGATATGAGACCACCTGGTCTCCAGTTTTCTTTTCAGATGAACACTAAAGCCTGTAGAGGGGAAGGGACTCACCCGAGGTCACATGGCAGGCTTGGGACCACCACCTTGATTCTGGGGATCGATGACATCTAGAAATGCAGTGCTTTGGGAGAAAAAAGGCATAAAGGTGGTGGAGAAGAGGGCAGAATTTTGTGAACTCTTTTGTCAGTGACGCAGAATCTTCCATATGTGCATCTTGGATCGGAAGTCTGCCACCAAAATACCAGATACTGCATCAAGGTCTGTCTTCCCTCCCTCCCTCGTTTCCTTCCTTCCTCTCCTTTCTATCACTAGTTGCTACTGAACACCTATTATATGGCACATAATGGCATTTCCCTCTGGCTATTTTGTGGGAGGTAATTTTCAAAAATTAATTTTTATTATCAAACACATGAAAAAATAAAGAGTACCGAAAGGTTTATTATGAAGAAAGCAGCAACCCCTTTAAATTGTTTTCACCGTTTCTTCTGGTACTTGCTTCTGTGTTTTGAAACCAGTTTATGCTGCTATTTTTTTTTTTATCAGTACTTTGCTGAGGGTGGATTTACATAAAGCAAAATTCACAAAACCTAAGTTTAAGCTTATTGACTTTTTATGTATGTATGTATACCCCCTTGTGATCACTCTCTGGATCAAGATATATAATATTTCTGTTACCTCAGAGAGCTCTCTCATGCACCTGAAGAACCACTCTTCTGACTTCAGTCACCATAAATTAGTTTTGTCTGTTCTGGAACTTCATATGGAGGGAATAATACAATGTATACTCTTTTGAGTCAGACTCCTTTCTCTCAATACACTATGTGTCTTTCATTCAGTAGTTCAATCACATGGAATATATTTACCACAATTTGCCTATCTATTTTCCTGTTGATGGACATTTGGACTGTTACCGGTGTAGGACCATTATAAATAAAACTGGTATGAATATTCTCATCTAAGTCTTTTTTGGATGTATGCCCTCATTTCTCTTGGATGTATACCTAGAAGTGAAATCTCTAGATTCTGGGATAGGATTATACTTAACTTTTTTTTTTTTTTTCAACGTTTTTATTTATTTTTGGGACAGAGAGAGACAGGGCATGAACGGGGGAGGGGCAGAGAGAGAGAGGGAGACACAGAATCGGAAACAGGCTCCAGGCTCTGAGCCATCAGCCCAGAGCCTGACGCGGGGCTGGAACTCACGGACCGCGAGATCGTGACCTGGCTGAAGTCGGACGCTTAACCGACTGCGCCACCCAGATGCCCCGGATTATGCTTAACTTTGAAAGAAAACATCAAACAGTTTTCCAAAGAGGTTGGGACATTTTATACTCCTACCACTAATGTCTGAGAGTTCTGGTTGTTTGACATCCTTCCCAATATTTAGTATGGTCAGTCTTTGAAATTTTAGCCATTCTCATGGGGGTGTAACTGGTATCATATTGTAGTTTTAATTTGCACTTTCCTGATGACTTATGATGTTGAAAATCTTTTCGCATGCTAATTGGTTATTTGTACATCTTCTTTTATGAAGTGCCTCTTCTTATTATCAATTACTAGGATTTCTTAATATATTTTGGATATGAGTTCTTAGATGTATGTGCAGAGAATATTTAATTCTGGTATGTGGCTTGCTTTTTCACTTTCTTAATATTCTTTTGATGAATGGATGCTCTTAACTTTGATAAGGTTTATCAATTTTAAACTTAAATTTTTTTTTAATGTTTATTTATTTTTGAAAGAGAGAGAGAGAGAGAGACAGAGACAGAGACAGAGAGGGAACAAGCGGGGGAGGGGCAGAGAGAGGGAGACACAGAATCCAAAGCAGGCTCCATATGCTGTCAGCATAGAGCCCAACCTGGGGCTCCAACCCCCGGGCCGTGAGATCATGACCTGAGCTGAAGTTGATGCTTACCTGCCTGAGCCACCCCAGCACCCCAATTTTAAACTTTTTAAATAGATCATGACTTATGTGTCCTTCCAAGAGATCTTCACCTATCCCAAAGTTGTGAAGATATTCTAGTTTGTTTTCTTCTAAAATCTTTATAGTTTTAGCTTTCACATTTAGATCTATTACTTATCTTTTGTTGTTGTTGTTAAGTAAATTCTACACCCAACATGGGGCTCAAACTCATGACCTTGAGATCAAGAGTTGCATGCTCTACCAACTGAGCCAGCCAGGCGCCCCAATCTATTAATCTTGAATAAATTTTGATGTATGGTGTGAGGGAGTCCAGATTCTTTTTTTTCCTCATGTGATTATTCAGTTGCTTCAGCACCTTTTATTGAAAATATCTTCCTTTCCATATTGAATTGCATAGAGAACGTCAAGTGATCACATTTGGGTGGGTCTAATTCTAGACTCTATGTTCTTTTTATTCCAATTAGCAGAGAATTTACATCTTTATAGTATTGAGTCTTCCGATCAAAGAATGTGGTATATGTCTCCCTTTACATAGGTCTTCTTTAATTTTTCTTAGCAGTGTAATGGAAAATCTTTCATTTACATTTTCCTTCTTTTCCCCAGAAGCATTTGTCCGAGACCTCTGTCCTCCTGCTCCGTGCTGGCCTGTTGCACTGCTGCCTTCCCGGGACTTCCCACTCTTCCTAGGAATTCCCTTCATAGTTCTATGCTAGATTCCTGTTTGTTTTTATCTTGTGTGTCCTTCTTGGTTTCTCGGTTTACTTCTCGTTTGATGGAACCTATTGTCCAGTAGCTTCCACATACTTTGTTGATAATTTAGGTGAATATAAAATCTTTTCCCCTCATCATTTTGAAGCCATTGTTCCATTGTGTTCTAATTCCTCATGTTACTGTTGGAAAGCCCAGTACCACTCTGATCCCCAGTCCTTTGTATGTTACTGGATTTTTCTCTCTGGTAACTTTTAGGATCTTCTCTTTACCTCTGGTGTGCTGAAGTGTCACAGCGGTGCGAGAGTCTTTTTCATTAATTACGCTGAGCACAATGGGCTCTTTCTTCTAGAAATGAGTGTCCTGGTATTTTTTTTTTTTCTATTATTCATTTGATAATATGCTCTCATCCATTTTCTTTCTTTTCTCTGAAACTTCTACTAATTTGATGTTGGGTCTCATGGATTTTCTCCACTACCATCTTTTTCTAGTCTATTTTTCTTCAACATGTCTTTCTTGTTTTGGGGGTGGGGGAGTAGGGAAGAAGGCAGGAAACCTCCTTGACTTTACTTTCCACTCTTCATCTTTGAAAAAATGCCAAAAAGTTTCTTTTTCTCCTCCTCCTTCTTCTGGAGTGTTCTCTTTTCTTAAAACAAAACAAAAACAAAAAACAAACAAACAAAAAAACCAGCATCATGTAACTATTAAAAATTTTTTTCCCCTAATGTTTATTTATTTTTGAGAGAGAGAGAGAGAGACAGAGCACAAGCAGGGAAGGGCCAGAGAGGAAGACACAGATCTGAAGCAGGCTCCAGGCTCTGAGATGTCAGCACAGAGCCCGATGTGCAACTTGAACTCACAGACCTTGAGATCATGACCTGAGCCAAAGTCAGCCACCTAACTCACTGAGCCACCCAGGCACCTCTAGCATCATGTAACTATTAAATGATTAGAATGTTTTTCTCGTACCTCTTTGAGGTATTAACTGTAGGATTTTTAAAAAGTTTTGTTTCTCCATTGTCTCTTTTATTAAGGTATATATAATTGACATGCAACATTATATTAATTTTAGATGTGCAGCATAATGATTTGATATTTGTATATACAGTGAAATGATCACTACAGTAAGTCTGGTTAACATTGTCACTATACATAACTACACTTTTTTTTTTTTCTTGCCAGAACTTCATGTCTACTCTTTTAGTACCTTTCAACTATGCAATATGATATTATTAACCATAGTCACCATGCTATACATTCCATCTCCTGCATTGTCTCTATTTATTCCTAATGGGTAAATACCTTTTTATTCATATACATACAGCCCTAAATAAAAAGAAACTGCAAAATTCTATATTGGCCAAGCTTATCAGGAAATGGGCTTCACTGTAGGCTAATCGGGTGGCAAATTAACTTTTTGATAGGTGACTTCCTTATGTCAGTGTCTGTAGGTCTTTATTCCTTGGAGAGTTCCATTTCTTCAGTGGTAGATCCTCCAGTCTCCTGCCTGAAGAGTGGCAGGAGTGGGAACTGGCATTGTGGGAAGACCTCCAGAGGAAGGGGCTGGGGGGGGGGGGGGTGTCTCCCTGTTCCTCCAGAAGGACACAAGCCTTCTGAGTTCCCTTGTTTTCCTTTTGGCATCTCAACTCTTCCTTCTCCTCTCTGATGTTTTTAGTCCAGACCCCAGAGATAAGGGCCCCTCTAGTTTAGTTTTTCCCATTTTCGCATGGGGCATAAATGAGGAAGCCATGTGGCATGGGGGGAGGGGCCTGGAAGTTCAATTGCACTTTATGTAGACCATGTCTCCTGTTTTCAGCATTGCTCCTAAATTGCACTTTCTGTGGCGCCTGGTGCCTCCACTTCTTGAGCCTTTCTGCTTCTTAGCAGATTTTCCATCTGCAGATGAGAACACCAAGGTTTTGTGCCCTCACTCTGCTGAATTAATTACCATGCTTCCATTCTGTTTTTCATCTTCCAAAAATTTGCCGATGTCTCTTTTTATTGGGTTTACTGTCTTTTTATTGCTTTCTATAATTTAACAGAGTTTTGGGAAGGAGTGGTTGACAAAAATTCCCTCTTTGATTTATTTTTAAAGCTAAAAGACAGACCGTGGCTCTAGAACTGCTTGAATCGGAAAGAAAATACGTCATCAACATCTCTCTGATCCTGAAGATCAAGGCAACGTTCCAAGGGTCAGATGGAAAGAGGAATTCCAAAGAGAGAAGGTACCCATGTATTCATTGCCTTTCCTTTTTCAGATTGCTTAAGATCTAAGGTAAGTTGTTTATTGTTTCCATTTGGGGAATTCTGGGACCTGTGAGGAGTTCCAGGAATAGTCTTTGAAAAGAGCGTAGGCAGTGATAGCAGGTAACCCCTGGCAAGTCACAAATTTAGATAAGGAACTGAGTATAGTCTCTGGGGCCTTCAGTATCCCTGGCATGTCTGTAAAGAACCTAAAGGGAAAATAAATGCTACAGTGAGGGAGATGTTGCTCTCTGTTGACATCTGCATGTTCTCATGGGAACCACAGGTCTCACGGGGGGTGTAAGGGAATGGACGCAGGGAGGTCTGAAGCACTAAGTGGCCATCAGATAAATGGCATGGGGCTGGTTAACCCTGGGACTTGGATCTTTCTCATTTGTTCGGGTGGTCCCATAGTACCGAATGGTGCACAAGTGGTGTGTGTATGTGGTGTGTGTGTGTATGGTGTGTGTGTTGTGGGGCAGTGCTTCCACAGGGTCTGGAGCATGCTGGCCCCAAGATTACAACACTCTTTTGACGGGTATCTGTCCATAATCTTTCTATTTTCTCCGCCTCTTCTCCATTGAGAAAAGTAGGAAGGAGGAAACTCTGGTTTGGTGGAAAGGACTAATGTGATGAAGATGGAATAATCCAGATTAGTTGAGGAAAAGGTCAATCCAAAAGCTTGGAAAGTCTAGATTATGGCCTATTATAGATAAACGTAGCATTACCTGTTTAAATACGCTATCAGGTAATAGACACTGATGGTTCATATTGTGAATCTATCTAGGGAAGCCCCTAATTGTCAAATTTTCCTGCTCTTTTCCATCCCCTCATTTTACTTGGCTTTGTGGCTACCAACAAGGTACCTAGTCACCAGAGCACAAAGCTTCCCCTAGCTAAATGGCCGAGATGAGGGGATACTCCCTGACAAACTCGAAAGTGACTTGACTATTTTCGAGAATTATTTTACTGCAAAACTGAGGTAAACAAAGCATAGAAAACAAGGGACAGAAAGGGTGATGTGACATGGTGAAAGCTCTGACCACTGGAGGCCCTGGACCAGGCTTCACCTTTTCTCAGTGGCCACCTAGATTCCTGCTGGTTGTTCCTTCCCCATCTGGCCCCTTAATTCCCCTGCTAGACTCCAATCTTACATATGAATCAAATGTAAAGGCAAGTCTACCTCTGGGTGTGGTTTTGCTTCCACATCTGAGATACTAAGCCAGCAGCCTCTCTTCCTTGTCCCTGAAAATTTGGGGATGGGGTAAGGAGAGAGAATTGTTCATTTTGGATCACAGTAATTAGGCATTTCAGTCATAACTTCATGAAACCTTCACAAGAACCCTGTGAACCCTGTCTTACAGATGAAGAGACTCAGGTCCAGAGGGGTTTAAAGCCACATGGCCAATTAGTGCCCGAATTCAAACCCAGGCTTGTGTACCCCTGTCCCTGTGATCTTTCCACATCATGCCACTTCTCTAAGGACCTTGTAGTTTCAAAGACGTCACCTGACTGACAAGCACTATATCAAGTTTCTCAGCCAGAAGCAGACTTTCTGTTTCTTCCCATCTCACAACTTACGCTTCCCTTCAACAGCCCACAGGTTCTTACTTCAGATCTCAACTGATTTGTCAGGTAGGGATGCTAGAAATGTGCTTGGCTCACGGAAGCTCTCTTCGACTTGCCGTCACTTCCTGCTTGTCTAAGATGTTCTCCTATGATCCATTGCTGAGGAAGGACTAATCTCCCCCAAATCCTGAGATTAAAAAAAAAATTAAAACTATTATACAAAATTCCATGAAAGTAAGATAAGTTATTCCTGATATCCATGATGATGCTATGCATGTTAGTTATTTACTAAGCTGACCCTCTTTTTTCTTTTCATAGATCAAGATGAGAAAAGCTTTAAGTTGATACTCTCAGTCTTACTGATATAAAGATTCTAGTTCTGAGCTTTGCAGTGTTGCCATTTTTCCACCCTAGGGTTAGATTTCCATTATCCTCCTTCAGTGACTACATTTCTTCTTTTTTCTAAGCTTTTCTGAAGCCTCCGTGTGTGCTTTAAATAGACCAGCTGAATGAAAACAGCAGAATGGGATTATTCCTTTTCTCTACTGACATTTTCCCCCATGTAAAGATGAAAATAAGTTAATAACATTTCCTATCTCTCCCATCACATATTGCAAGGCTTCAGCACTTTCTGCTCCTGCTGAAAAGTAACCTGGGGGTGAAAATAAAACTCACCGTAACTATAACCTGACACTCAAAACTGAGGTTGCCACATCTTCTCAAACCTTTAAGATACAACTTTAGGATTTCCCTAGGGGGGAAAAAAGGCTTCCAGAGCCTCCTCAGCCTGTTTCAAGCCCGCCCTGCTTCTGGGCTGGAAACTGCAGTGGCACAAGCTACCAGCGGAGGTCTGAGTGGAACATGTGGGCTGTTGTTCATTTGCTGGAGGATCACAGAAGTTGGAGTTCTTGGATTTTTCTGGTCTGATTCACTCTATAGATAGAATTATAAGCTCAGGATCAAATAGTCCTGTCTGTCTGAATACTTGTAGGGAGGGGCAAAGTCAGCTTGACTTGACTGCCAGTTAGTCTTATAAGCTAAACTCCAGCGCCACATCCACCAAGAACTCAGTGTGCTACAGATCACCACCAGGTGGCGAATGTTTCATTATCCACGCGGGTCAGATTGGGTCACATCCTGCTGCTGAAACTCAGGAGTTATTTTGGCCTAAAATTGAACTGGCAAGAGCTAAGTTATTAATTTGAAACTATAACTGGGTTTTCTTTCATTGCTTTTAGTTTATTTCCCTTGTTTTTAAGTACTGTAGTGTGGGAGTTGAAATAACTTGAAGGTTTTAAAAAACAATAAACAAATTCACGTTGCCGTAATTTCACTCCTGGTAAGGAACAGATAAGAAGTTGAGCATTTAATACTTTCATCTTCATGAAAAAGTTGCTTCTGAGAATCACGTCTGGCTCTAGGCAAAACAGTGAAATAGGTTATGTGTGTGTGTGTGTCTATACTGCTTGCCTTCTTTCTCTCTCTGTTCTCCATCTCCTGGCTCACTTTCTCCACACTCGTCTCCAATTTCAAATAATAACCTTATTAAATAGAACATTTTTTCCCCAATATTTGGTGAAGAACCCACCACAAGTCATTGTTCTTCCTGTAACTTATGTGTTTCCATAATACTTGATGGGGGCATTAGCCTTTTCTGACCCTCATCCCTCACCCTGAAATCTCTGTTACCCCAGTGGACAGTCCAGGAGGTACTTGGACTCCAACCAAGTTACCAGCTCTCCAACTCTGTAAGTACACTGATCACCATGTAGCAGAAGGCAGCTGTCTCAAAAGAAAGAGAAAGAAGGTGAGCTCAGGTGAGGCCACGCAAGGCCAGGAGAGCAGTAAAGAGAGAAAAAAAGGAAAGGGGTAATCTAAGAGATATTACAAAACCTAAAAGGACAACCTATCTCCAAGTCAGATCTTACCATGGTGTGGGGCCCTAACAGCTTTCAGTGTCACATCAGGAATATCACCGGAAGCCATGGAAGCCTTGGGTGGGGAGGAATCTTTCACATCTAGACCTTTTGCTGGCACAGTGTTTCACTTGTTCAGTTCCATCAGTTGTGCTTTCCTCCAGCAATGTTATGGTTTCCTCCCAGTCAGACTGTCTCCTAGCCACTCCTCCAAATTCCCTCTGATCCAGACAGGGATCACTTAGATCTCCTAAGCCCACTATGCCAGCCATAAGAGCTCAGGAAGCGCAGACCAGCTGGCTTTGCATATGCGGAGACCAGTGGCACAGGAGGTGGAGGGGGAAAAGGCAGGAATGAAGGAGGCCTTGTATCTTTTCACAGGGGGCTGGGTACCCTCTCCAATCTGTGTGTCTTCTCTGAGCTATAGCTCCAGGGGAGTCTTTGCTTTCCTTGGAGATGGGTTGAAAGACCTCTTACCAAACTGATGGTCTTTCTACTGTTCTCAACAAAGGTCTGCTTGTTCAGGGTGGACAAAGCACACCAACTGTCCACTAACTTACTCTCGTTGGACCCTGGAGAAATATCCACGTAAGTTCAGCTCTTAGTGACAAGCAGGCCAGCACTTTCATCTTTGTTAAACGTGTGGTCTTCAAAACACAAGGGAACCTACTTTCAGTTCCCATAAGTCACCAAGTTAGGGCTCAGATCCCTGCTGTAGCCCAGCAAGACTCCATTTCCTTGCAGCTTGCATCCTTGTTCCCATAGGCCTCTGATTGTCCCACTCTTCTCCATCCACCCCCTTCTTCCTCCCATGATTCTTTCTCTCTCTCCTCTCCACTGTGTCCTTCTCTGACACTTCTCCTCCCTTCATTTCCTCTGAAAAAACAACAAAACAAAACAACCAAAAAACAAAAACAGACAAAAAAAGAGGCACACTAAGGGATGGGGGAGAGGGCTGTGAGAGTAGGAAGGGGCTCTGTGAAACTCCTGGGAGTAACAGGCCAGGCCTGGTCTACAGCCTTCCCAGGCAAGTCTCTGTCCTTGCTCAGTTTTCCTCTTGGATAATGAAGGGAAGGGAAATGAACACTTTCATATGCCTGTCCCCTGAGCGTCTAGTTGCCAGCTTTAAACAAGTTTTCCTTCTTCCCTAAATCAGTCTCTTACCCAGTAGCTAAGAATGACCAAGTGCCACCTCAGTGCTGTTGTCTACAACACTAATTAGAATACACTATTTTGCACATCAAGTGGAAATAACTTTAAAATTTTGGAAAAGATTTCCCTGAGAATTTCCACTGTCACATAAATGAGAGAGTAACAGTTTGGCTTTAAAAAGGCCATTCAGGGGCGCCTGGGTGGCGCAGTCGGTTAAGCGTCCGACTTCAGCCAGGTCACGATCTCGCGGTCCGGGAGTTCGAGCCCCGCGTCAGGCTCTGGGCTGATGGCTCAGAGCCTGGAGCCTGTTTCCGATTCTGTGTCTCCCTCTCTCTCTGCCCCTCCCCCGTTCATGCTCTGTCTCTCTCTGTCCCAAAAATAAATAAATGTTAAAAAAAAATAAAATAAAAAAATAAAAAAAAAATAAAAAGGCCATTCAAGGGGTGCCGGGATGGCTTTGTTGGGAGAGCGTGTGACTCTTGATCTCAGGGTTGTGAGTTTGAGCCCCTTATTGGGTGTACAGATTACTAAAAAAAATAAGCTTAAAAAAAAAGCCATTCAAGTGATATGCTCCTTATTAGTACAATATAGATTTGTGTAGGAACCATTGCTAATGGGTCTTTTTACATCCTGAGGATATTTTCTGTGAGGTCTACAATGGCAAACTTTAAAAAAAAAAATCCTGAATGCAGAGCTCAGAATATTTTGAATGACTGGGAAAATGGGACCTCCTGCATATGTTCTTATAGGCTCTTTTCTTCTCTACACCTGGTTTGTGTGATCCTATCTCTATTCTGTTTCAAGCCTCTTCCCTGGTTCTTTACGGTACCTTGTCCAGCAGCACCTCGATTTGCTCCATGCTCTGCAGGAAAGGGTCTTGAAGTGGCCACGCCAAGGAGTTCTTGGAGATTTATTCCTTAAATTAACAAATGATGAGGTAAGTTGTAAAAAAAAAAAAAAATCCTGCATAAACTTGAATTACATGCACCTGTGTCTCTCTTGTCTGCTTCTCTGAATGGAGAACCTCAAACCAGTGATTTTTCAGAGATAGGAAACCTGCTGAGATCTAGTCTAACCTCCTCACTCTACAGATAACGAAATAAAGTTCAGAGACATTAAAAGACTTTGCTGAAATCACCCGGCTAGCTAGGCAGTCATGGATCTGTTACCCAAGTCTCCTAACCTCTAGCCCATCGCTTTCCCCTGTACTATGTAGAACGGCTCATTGAGTATGCACGTAAGTGTGTGTGTGTGTATTTGTCTGTCTATCTATCTATCTATCTATCTATCTATCTATCTATCTATCTATCTATACATATCCATCCATCCAACATTAGTATAGGGGGGTTTGTATATGTGCTTGTATTTCTCACCTAATTTCATTCCTTAGCGGTATTTAAAAATGTGATAGGCAGTGGTTTGTCTTGAATGTTTTTTATTTTCACTTTTTGGAGAAGAGTGCTAAGTTTTGAAATCTCTGTAATGTTCTACAAAGAAAGTATGACCCAGGCCAGAGGTTGCAAACTCAAATGCCTACAGGGCCAGGTAGTGATATAAATCAGTGGAAATAAGTGGAGTATAATACAGTATGGACTGCTGGGAGGTGAGCTTAAGTGGAGCACATAAGCTTTTCTACAAGGAATATTATCCAATTATTATCCAGGAAGAAGGGACTAGAGTTTCCAGATCTGATATTTTAAGAGACGCTAGAAATCAAGAATTTTGTATGAAATTTCTTATTTAAAAAATATTGTGAGGGGCACCTAGGTGGCTCAGTTGGTTGAGAGTCTGACTTCGGCTCGGGTAATGATCTCACAGCTCGTGAGTTCGAGCCCCACATCGGGCTCTGTGCTGACAGCTCAGAGTCTGGAGCCTGCTTCGGATTCTGTGTCTCCCTCTCTCTCTGTCCCTAACCCACTCACATTCTCTGTCTCTCTCAAAAATAAATTAACATTAAAAAAATATATTGTGTGGGCTAATTAAAATTGGTCTGCAAGCCATAGTTAGCCTGCAATCAAATTCTGTATATTGGTGATTCTCAACTGTAGGTAACAAGACAAAGTTCACAAATTATTTACTTGTATAGTTTACAAACTATTTACTTGTATGGATATAATGCAATCCCTCTAATACCACTCTTACTTGTTTGTATTCAGTATGCTTTCTTGGGCTGAGAGTTGTTATATCTGTGGGAATATAACTTTGGAAGCTGAAAATTGCTTTCTTGAAGGCATACTGCATAGAAGAATAAACAAATGGTGGGAATATACAATTAGTGGCAAAAATTGAGAATCACTGGTCTAGACACCGGAAGGTGGGTTGGACAACGTTCCTCACTGGATGCAGATGACTGAAATTAAAAGTAACTTAAAAACAAAATATGCATTTTAATCATTTAACAATTTAAAAATACTTTTTCGAGGTGCCTAGGTGGCTCAGTTGGTTAAGTGTCCGACTCTTGATTTCAGCTCAGGTCTCAGTCTTGCAGTTCTATGGGATTGAGTTCTGCGTTGGGCTCTGTGCGGACAGTGTGGAGTCTGCTTGGGATTCTCCCTCTCTCTCTGCCCTTTATCTCTCTCAAAATAAATAAATAAACACACACAAAAAAATTTTCAACTTACATGACCCCTCTCCGCTGCATTGGTTTTTCACTTTCTCTCATGAAAGCAGGATTATTGAATTTTGGTTCTCAAGTTCATAGGGATATTTGCCTTAAAACCAAAAAGTTTAAGAAAATGAATTTAAAAACCCCCCAAAACATATTAACGAACACATTAAATGATCAAAATAATTTCTGCAAAGTACTCCTTTGTGAAACACACGACTGTAAAAATATTAGCTGCTATCATTCCTGTGTCCAGAGTCTTACCATGCATTTTTGTGTTTGTTTTTAAGAATAATTTCTTGGATTATTATGTTGCCTACCTGAGGGACCTACCTGAATGCATCTCTTTGGTTCATGTTGTTGTTCTGAAGGAGGTAAGGTGACTCTGTGTGTGTACTGCCCTTTGGTTACAGGTATATCTGTCGGAAGTTGCTCATCCACCTAGGGGAACACAACACATGCACTCAGCTTGTCTTCCAAGCTGAGGAATGGCTCCAACAGAGTCCCTGACACCCTACCTGGAGTTAAAGGAGCCCACTCGAGGATGAGTGCCAGTGCTTTGGTCCACGCCCTGCCTCCCTGACTCTCTGTTCTATTGCACTGGAAGTTTACACAAAGCAAACAGGTGTTCTAAGCAGAGATCCTCAGGCCACAGCTTGCATGCTCTATGAGGGTTTTTTTTTTTTTCCAGGTACAATTTGAATCTGAATATTAAACTGAAATCATCCTGTGTCAGTTTATAAGATCATAAAGTGGTTCTAATCATGTAGCTTTAAGTATTGCTACTGCAATGCTATAGTAGGTGCTCAAGAAGCACATATAAATATCTAACAATTCTAGTTATTTTAGGTCAATAGGAAGAAACTCTATCAGAAGCCTAAAGTTAAGAGTTAATCAAGTTTCACGAGAGGTGAGGGTCTCTTTCTTATTAACATTCTACTTCCACCCCCCCCCCCAACTACTCTCAACCCTATAAGTATAACGCCTACCACATGTTAGCGCCCATCAAATATTTGAGGAAAGGAAAGTAAGGGGAGGGGAGGAGAGGGAAGGGAAAGGGAGGGAAAGAAAGGGACATGGGGAGAGTCCAACATGTTTGCTCTGCCAGCCCGGCTGACCAGTTTCTAGTTATACTCTGTCTCCACCCTCATGAGGCTCCAGTCTACCCTTAGGGCCTATTACTAAGCCACTGTAATGAGTACTTACAAGAGAACCTGAATGAATTTATTCAACTTGGTTATAATTTATTGAGTGCCCACTTGTGTCCAGCACTGTGCTAACAAGAGTAGTGGGGAGGGAGGGGGTTGTTTGGAAAGTTGGGTGGATTCGAAAGAATGAGATGATATGCTCCCTGCTACAGAAGAATTGTCTCCTTGAGCATGTCTCTGAACAAGTGGCCTATCCAATGAAGGACCATGACACTTTAGAGAAAGAAAATGCTCTGGGAATAAAAAACTCTGCCTACTCTGGTAGGACTGACTTTGGGGTTCTGCAGCCAGAGCCGGAGGGACACCGAAGAGTGACTCTACCTTTCTTTCATTCAGGGTGACGAAGAGATTAAATCTGACATCTACACACTGTTTTTTCACATAGTCCAGCGCATCCCTGAATACCTGATACATCTGCAGGTAGGCATGGCTGGGAAGCCACCAAGATGACTTTCAAGCTAAACTACTATTTTTGGCTTCTAAATGAGAAACACTGTAAAGGGTCAAGGAAGAATCATTGGTATTTCTAAAGAGTAATTAAATGATTTAGATTGCTATGATTATCCTATGCCTACCTTGTAGTACGAACCACAATCTCAATGTCTAAAAATTTTTGGTTCATGATGTCTGCCTTTGAAGTTCTATCTTCATTTACCAGCAATCACCACCTCTGCTGATCCAGGATCTTTCTATAGAAGCTCCTGGTAGACTCTAAGTACCTATTGAGTCCCTTCCATCTTGTTCTACAGCCATCTAAATGTACCCCTAAACTCTTACCCCATCCCCATCCCTGGCATCTAAGAAGTAAGTATCTATGTAACCTGTCCATTTAACTGCTCTTTGACTACTTTCTTTTGGCTTGAGTCCAAGAGCCTGCCATATATTGCTTATGTCTTATGTCACAGACAAAGCATGAAGAAGTTGATGAGGTGACTTCTGCACATCATTTTTCCACAGGGCTTGCAGCCCCTTGGAGGAAGTAGAGTTGAGAGAAAGGCTCACCAGCATCCCTACCAGTCCCTCTTATTTCTAACATCCACCTATTCTCGTTTAATTGCTGACTGATTTTCCTAAGTAATTCAGTTGAAAGCATCTTAGAAATGCTTGGGATTTATCTCAGGTAGAAGTAGCCCAGTATCACTATTAAGAAGACTTTCGGGGCGCCTGGGTGGCGCAGTCGGTTAAGCGTCCGACTTCAGCCAGGTCACGATCTCGCGGTCTGTGAGTTCGAGCCCCGCGTCCGGCTCTGGGCTGATGGCTCGGAGCCTGGAGCCTGTTTCTTGATTCTGTGTCTCCCTCTCTCTCTGCCCCTCCCCTGTTCATGCTCTGTCTCTCTCTGTCCCAAAAATATAAAAACAAAAAAAACAAAAAAAACAAAGAAAAAACGTTGAAAAAAAAAGACTTTCAATTATATGTGGCTTTAGATTTTAAGATCTTCTCACAATAAATTAAATTATCTTATTTAATGTTTTCAATAATCCCATGAAAGAGGTATTATTACCATTGCTTAGATAAGGAAATAGAGAGCCAAAGAAGTTAAGTAAGTTGCTCAAGTTAACACATGTTATAGGTGAAAAAATCTAGGGCTCAAACCCAGGTCTTGCAAGCAGTATGATAAATGAGAGCCCCGATTCTACTGTCTGACGAGTTCAAATTCTAGCTCTGCTACTTGTTAGATGTGTGGCCTAATGAAGATTCCTAACTTCGGTGTGCCTTGATTTCCTTATTTGTTAAACAGAGATAATAATTGCACCTATCTAATCTATCTGTGGTAAACATTAAATGAGAAAACGAATATGTAAAGGGATTAGTACTTGGCAATAGGAAGACTCAATACACATTAGCTTTCCAGATCCAACGAACATGCACGTTCCACTACCACACAGTAGGCAATATAGTAGGGACCACCAGACCAGGTTTGATCACAAACATCCTCCCCTTGATGTCTGACATTCTCACCATTAGTCTGACTTATTTGGGTTATAAGGCATTGCTTATAGACAGTAATTGTTAGAATGGCTCCATTACCTCAAAAATCTAATGAATAGATCCTTCAAATTTTTCAGATGGAATTAGCCTATGTTTACATCCAGCCAAAACAGGAACAATGATGACTATTAGTCTCCCTTGGTGGGATGGACAAAGAGAACGTCAAGTTTAACCTTTCAGATTAATTAGATTAAGATTAACCTTTCAGCCAATTAGATTGGCCATATGTATTGTTGTTTTGATTAAATGGCTACCAAACGCTCACAACAGATGGAGGCAAAGGGTACAAGAGACAAAATGTTTCATTCTAATTATGCAATGCTGCTTCCTTTTTTCCTCCATCCAGAACGTCCTGAAGTTCACAGAGCAGGAACACCCTGACTATTATCTACTTCTGGTGTGTGTTCAGCGCCTTCGAGTATTTATCTCGCATTACACCCTGCTGTTTCAATGCAATGAGGATTTGCTTATTCAGAAACGGAAAAAGCTCAAGAAGTAAGGTTCTGATGGTGCTGCTTAGAGGGTTTATCAAAGGTTTCTAAGAACAAGAATACAGACAATGTGGGTACCTGTCACAAGTAACCGCACTGTATTGAAAGTGGCTGAAATGCAGTGACAGGAGGTGGAAGAGAACAGAGAAGAGGTGGGGAATGAGATGGCCAGGCTGGCTATAGGGAGGGAGGTACCTATTACCTGGGGGAAATTACCTCAGAAAAATAAACAGTTTTACTCTAATACTTATGCAGACCCCCTTATCTCATGTTTCTAACCATTGAAATTGTTTCCCTAAGCTTGCCAGACTAAAAAAATGCAGTTTAAAGGCCAGAATGTGGGTTCTTTCATTAATTCAACAAATATTTATTGAGCACTTACTATGCATCAGGCATTGCTCTATGCACTGAATATACTGCAATGAACAAAACAAGCAAAAATCTTTGGCACATGGAACTCACTTTCTAGGGCTGGACAGCAAGTTAATAAGTAAGTTAGATAGTGATAAGTGCTATGGATAAAAACAAAACAAATAAGGGAGGGGTGGTGGTTGAACAAATTAATGCTAAAAAGAAACAAAAAGGGCTGACTGGGGAGAATCTGGGCTTCAGAGGGAACAGAAGCAATCTACAGCAGAACTTTCTAATGACCTGGATTTCCTTCAACCTCATTCCAATCAATGAGGAAAACAGAATAATTTCTGTGGGTGTTTGAGACCGGAAAAAGATGCTGGTCTGGGGGCTATCTGCCTATACCACCCTTTCCCCCAAACTTAATTCAGGCAATTAATCAGCATCCTTATTCTTGCCCAGCATCTAGCTTACACTGTTATGTAAACAACCTTGTTTATAGAGGGCCAGAGAGAGAGAGAGAGAGAGAGAGAGAACTTCACAGATGAGCTTCATCTAAGAAATGTTGTCTCCTTATCTTTCTTGTCCTAATCTGTGTGTTCAGAGCCAATTTCCCAATGTACACCCTGAAAATGATTACTTCTATTCTCATAGGTCATCCATGGCGAAGCTGTACAAAGGCCTGGCTTCCCAGTGTGCAAACACTGGACAAGATGCTTCCCCCACTGCAGGCCCTGAGGCTGTCCGCGACAGCGGGATCCACTCAGAAGAGATGCTGCAACCCTACCCTTCTGCTCCCAGCTCTGGCCCTGCTGTCACGTAAGCACCTGTTGCTGTGGAAATGCTAATGGCAAGGCCCTGGGTGCCAAGTGGTCTGTGTGGGGTAGCAGGACAGCCTGAACGAGGAGTATGATCTACAGGACTCTCCTCTCTCTTGCCCCATCAGGCCTATATGGGCAGGCAAGCAGCTGACGCAAAACTTGGATCCCAGAGGAAGGCTAATGTCAAGGGGCAGGCCTAGAGGCTGACGGCTACTCCTAAAAATTTACCACACATAACCACCCTCCATCTACAACTTAAGTCTCTTTGGGTTTGGACAGTGATTGGGTGGAAGAGAGTGCTGCAAGAAGACAGGAAGGCATCTTATAGCTCCTCAGAAGGGTGGGAACCTACTTACGTTCTCCAAAAGGTACAGTAGAGGGAGAGAATCCCAGTCAGGGGGGAGTGGAACTCCAGGCTCTGAAAAGAGAAATAGGCCTGAGGTGATGCACAGAGAGTGTAGTTTAGTCCTCCTGATTCCCCTTGAAGCTTCTTCATAAAAGGACTTCATAAGCTCTTTTCTCCACTTGTGACAGCTTCTCTTAAAGTTTTTCTGTGCAGTGGATGTATTTGACAGCTTTTTAAAGTCTCTGCATACAATCCGCTAGCACACTAAGCTGGATTCTTTTTTTTTTTTAAGTTTTATTTATTTTTGAGAGAGAGACAGAGAGAGTGAGTGAGGGAGGGGCAGAGAGAGGGAGAGAGAGAGAGAATCTCAAGCAGGCTCTGTGCTGTCAGCATGAAGCCTGATGCAGGGCTTGAACTCACACACCGTGAGATCATGACCTGAGCTGAAACCAAGAGTCGGACTCTTAACCGACTGAGCCACCCAGGTGCCCCCACTAAGCTGGATTCTTATTGAGCAAACTTCTTGATGATTTTTACATTAAGGAATAGGCCATTTATGTATCTGGAACTCTTTACCTCTAAAGGATAAGGATAAAGTCAACTTGGCTACTTTTGAAACCAATTTTTCTGGAAAGATAAGGGGAACCAAAACTCAAAATTCCAGGGGCAATGGGGTGGCTCAGTCGGTTGAGCATTGGACTTCGACTCAGGTCATGATCTCCAGGTTCGTGAGTTTAAGCCCTGTGTTGGGCTCGCTGAGAGAGAGAGACAGAGAGAGAGAACACACAGGAGCATGTGGGGCAGGAGCATAGAGAGAGGGACAGAGAGAAACCCAAGCAGGCTCTGCGCTATGAGTTCAGAGCCCAACTCGGGGCTTAAACTCACGAACCATGAGATCATGACCTGAGCTGAAATCAAGAGTCGGATGCATAACTGACCTAGCCACCCAGGTGCCCCCACTTCAGCTTTTATGAGAATGATCTTTGAAGTGAAACAAACAGAGCCCCCAAATGAAATCCCTAGAGATTATATCTAGCCCGAAAAGATGGCTGCCATTGGACTCTGTGTTGGGAAAACAGCCAGTAAAAAACTCAACAATTTTCCAAGTTAAAAGACAATTCAGGTTAGGTCAGCATTTCATTTATCATTTCTTTTCACCTTTGAAAGTGGGAGACCTCATTTTCACCTGAGAAAGATACTCACCAGAGTATCACCAGAGAAAGATACTCAGCATTTACATTTGTATTTTTAATGCATTTTTGTGGTAGGATTAATAAACGAGTAGAACAATCAGGCTGGGTCAGTGTGTAGTCCTCCACTCACATCTGCCTGGCTGTTACCTTCCAGAACTGGCAAATCACATCCAATGTGATGTGTGTGCTACCCTAATATCCTATGTAAATTATTCGTTATTCATGATTAAGCAAAATATCCTTCCATGAAATTGGGCATATTCAGAGTGACAGCCTTTTCATTTCGGTCATGTTTTTGTGGGTGAAAGTTTGAGACAACTTTTAAAAGCATGCTCTATAGCCACAAGGAATTTTTTAGTTTTTTTTCTTATGAAAACTTCAAATATACACAAAAGTGTACAGGGAACCCCACATACCATCATCCAGATTCAACAGTTTTCAAGTTTGTACCACACTGATTTCATCGAGGAATATAATTGTTCTTAAGCGTGTAGGTCCAGGGGTCGAATAAAAGTTATTTCCATTACTTTGTATCATATTGCTAGGGCAAAAAAGGGAGAGGAGAGAAAGGAGGCATCTTGGGGCTCTGGACACGTGGTGGGCGGGTAAGAGCGTCCATATGTGGAGTGATGACCATCCTGGCTCACCAGCCATCTCTGCGCAGAGCCTTCTTGCTCAGACGGATACTTCAGGCATCCGCTTTATAGATGGCATTTTCACCCTCCCACGTGGGGGACCAGGGCTCATGGGGACTCCCTGGCTGGAGACGCCTGCGGAGCTTGGTCGGTGACACACGTAGACGCCGGGGAGGGCAGAGAGGAGAGGACCTGGCAGTTTTGCGCCCAGGTGCTTTCTGGCTCCCGTGTTGCTCCCGGCTTCGCGCTGCTTGGGAAGCGGCCTGAACTAACCAACCGTAAGCACACCTCTTTTTGTACTGTTTCCTTTTTTACAGACATTTGATGCCTCCAGTGAAGAAAAGCCAACAACAGCAAAGCTTGATGGAGAGCATGCAGCCCGGGAAGCCCAGCGAGTGGGAGATGGAGGGCAGAAAGCACGAGAGGCCCGAGAGCCTCCTGGCGCCAGCGCAGTTCTGTGCAGCCGAGCAGGACGTGAAGGCGCTGGCCGGGCCCCTGCAGGCCATCCCCGAGATGGACTTCGAGCCCTCGCCCGCCGAGCCGCTGGGCAACGTGGAGCGCTCCC